GTCATGTTGATAAATTCGGTTCTAATGACGACCTTGATACCTTGATATGTGAAGATCTAAATGGTACATTTACAGCTTGCAGTGGAGATGTCACGTTTGGGAAACTGAAAAAATTCTGGTATTTCACCGACAACCCTATTACCGTTATTATTTCTATATATCGTGAATGTTATGATATCAAAAGAAGGATAGGGGTTGTATACTTTTTTTTCAATCTCGAGCTTTGTTTAAAAGTTCGTTTGTTTTCGAGAGATATTTGCTGGTTTTGATATTGACGAGAGCTATAATTATATACATCGCGTGATCTAATCGTTAAATGTCCCCTTTAGCTGCTACATGTTTCACTTCAAAGTAGATACAGAAATTAGGTGTTAGTTCAAAGATAACGAATTCTACCTGATAAAACTTTGAGTATTCTGAGTACTTGTTTACAAGGATAAGTTACAAGTTATATCACCTCTAGGAGTTTAAGGCTTAAGGAAATTGCATCGCGAGCAGACTATTAAACCACGAGTCAAATAAGAGAAACCATTGAAATATATTCACATCTGATAACAATAAACCGGGAAAATTCGACTGAAATTAAATTTGACTGTTGTCAGCCGCAAGGAAAATAAGATTGCAATCTTTCATTATAAATTACATGAGCTCTACAACTCTAATAAGTTGCAGAATTAAAATTGATTTGTACCTGTTGAACTGTTATCCTCTGAATCCCTCTATTCTCCAAACGATGTCATTTGTTAATTCTACATGCCTGAAAATATCAAGAATAATATTTTGCTTTACACAACACTTTCGATGAAAAAATGATGGTAACATATTCACGAGTTTGAAAGATCTAGCCTCATCTAATGCCCAGTTTCGTGATCAAAATTGCTGTTCTTCTTTAAGAAAATTGTTGTGTTTTTTTTTTATTTTTTATTTTTTTATGATTATTACTTGTTAGCATGTTTCTCTATGGCGATTAATGAATTCTGTGATTTAAATTCAGCTCTTTCTCGTTTAGTGTAAAACACTCGCAATCCGCAAAACCTTTTTTCTTCTCAGAGCAGGACATGTTACACTCTGCCATAACTGAATCGATAAGGATGAATTCACACCGTGTGTTATGTTGTACCAATGCAATTTCTCTTCAGGTGATCAACTAGATATATCCCTCGTTCGATATGATAAACATTTGTTTTTGGTTATCTTCCCACTGGCGTTACAGTTCTCTCAAACTTTGAATTTCCGCTCTCACCGTGACAACTTCATAATAACGGTAAGCTTTTTTCTTGTAAATAACTCCCGCCAATTCTGCACTAAATATTTTTGCAGTCAAAAGCGTAGGTGTCCAGTGAAATCACCGGAGGGAGATACAAAGCTAAAGAAATCACATCGATAATATGTATTCTTTATGCATACTTTTTTTCCAATTTTCTCGTCTTTCGATTATAATATGCTACATATTTCTACATTAACTTTCCTCACCTCAAGAATACTTGCGATAAATTTAACTCCAATAAAGTTCTTTTGCAAGAAAAATACTTGAATTCTCGTTGTATCTGAAGAAAAGCATATATAAATCGTTTCGCGTCTTGGAAAGAATTAAAGCGATACCATAAGAACTGTTCTTAAAGAAATATCCGAGGAAGATATTCAAATTTGTTAAATCTGAATACTCCATGCATCTTTGTGTACAGAAACCCTCAGTGTATCCTACAGGAATTTTATGAATAAATTGTTACTGAACCATTTGTCTTTAAGTTGGAAGAGAAATCTGAGGCCCGAGCTCTCTGTCTCTTTGAGCTCCAGAATTGTCTGCTGGGTTTGGATGCAGTAAGCGAGGTCATAAATAAATGTATAATAGTTCATACAGACAAGTTACACACATGATACTGGAATCAGAAATGCCGCAGCTTCGTGAATCCCTCATGGGAAGATAAATACGCTACCTCAAGGTCTGGTATGTTTATCTACATGTCAGCATTGATATTTAATCTGTCGTTTAACCTGACCTGACGGATGGATTTTTTTTCGGTCGTCGGTTAAAAATTATATTTTCCTTTGTCACGAAAGAGCTTAAAATTTCCTTTCTATCATTATGTATTTTAAGACATAAAACTTTCGACATTCACGATCTAAGCCGGATGCAGGATGATCCTTTATGTATCTACTCTATGTCATGGCTCATTGACGAGAAATGTATATCTATGTGGGAGAACTTCAGATCGTGAAATCCGATGGTCTAAGATTCGATCCTGCGTTCGTGACGAGTAAACATCTTTCATTCTTTTGTCTCATGTTTTAAATTATTTCTATTTGTATCTTTAGTCCATACCCGTTTATCTCATTCACTGCATTAGGTCGCTATTAACTTATTTTGTTCTCACCTGAACTCCTGTGAAAATGTGATTTGCCCCACAAGTGTGTAAGAAAACGGTGCACTTGGTAACACCAGCAGTATTGAAGAAGCTGAATATGAGCTCATCGAACTCGAAACAGAAAATCGTGAGTCATTGTTTATTTCGTGATCCATGATTCTATTTTGTAGCTATGCTGTTTCACTATTTAAACGCCAAGTTTGGACAGGGCCTCATATTACATCTTTTAACTTTTCATTTTCATTAATCCGTATTGTAGCATAATGACATAAACATGCTACTTTTTTATTTATTTTTTTTTTTAGTTGGTGTGATGGTCGTTAAACCACCGCCTGCTTAGGTTGATCGAAGGGCGCTGAAAGCGCTGGGGAGAATGAGCATAGTTCCTTTGTCTATAAGGACATATTAGAAACCATGACCAAACTATAGGCTTTGCGCTTGCGCCGCGAATCAAAGCGGGAAAAAAAACAAAAACAAAAAAAACTAGCTCCTTACAGTACGCACGTGGAACTCGGATGAGTAAGAGATGAGGGTTATTCTCTTATTATATAACCAAAACTAACGAGACCTCATGCGTTACTTAGGTGTTTTACACCACAAGAGAAACGCACATACCGAAAGCATAGTAGTGAAGGAAATTTTCTTATTAATGATGAGGGCGACTTGTCGGCTCGGAAACTTGACAAGTTTTGTAGGAAAAGTTGACCAATAGAGCTGTAATTTATGTTACCAACTCAGTTGATAATAATAAATTAACTACAGTGGAAAGTCAGTTTAGTAAGACAGGAGAATGAATGAAGCATCTCATATCAAAGTCATTCCAAATGTTACAGAAATTTGACAACCTGTCAGAAGGCCATTCATGGTTCTATTGCTCAGTGACTGAGAAATGTGTTCTTCCAAGGTCCTTTTGCTCCGTGTGTCACTGGCATTCATTTCAGTGTACGTGGAATCAAGCTCTTCACAAACCAGTGTTGCTGTTGTTGTTTTTCCAACTCCTGAGGAACCGGACAAAAGAGCTGCCTTAAAGGACGACCCATATTGGTCTTTGTTGAAAAAGAAAGCTGCGCAAAATAAGAATGTTTAAAATCGTGATTTCATTACCAACATACTAACTACATGTATAAGTGACTGTCGAGTGAAATAAATTCATCAAAGTTCATAAGTTACAGCTGTTTAAAAAAATGTATCTCTGAATATGGGAATTAGGAAACATATATTTATGTCATCAGTAAGTTGTACATAGTCATGCACCTGGATGCACATAAGAGAGATTATGTTCGCAAAGTATAATCACCGCACAATAAATGTAGGATGCTCACTAGTGAGGAAATTTAAGGCATACAGCTGAAGTGTGAATTAAATTTTCAGTGAAGTCATGCTCTTGCGCTAATTGTTGGAAAGGATTGAAACACCCACCTTTCAGTGCAGGTGATGATGGTGGTGTTTGTGTTGTTGGAGATGACACAGATCAGTTGTGACAAATCAATTTCAAACTGATCTTTTCCCTGGCTGAGGGACTCCACTGGTTCAGCTCTCTCCTTCTTCTTTGTTTTCTTCTCCACACTTGGTGGTTCATAGCTGGTCTCATTGCCTAGTTTTGTTCTGACAAGCTCAAACAGGCCGTCTTCATCTATTTGTGATGTTCCACATTGCTTAGTCTAACAGATAAGAACCAAAGTCAAAAAAAGAAAAAAAAAGAGCAACAACAACAAAGAAACCATAGTTTACTTGTCCAGTAATGTTTAGCTGTTAAAGGAA